CAGTTTTGGTAACAACTTTGCTGGAAGTTTGAATTTACTGAAATACACTTGTGAAATGTACCTACAAACTAATATGTAACTCCTGCTGAATAAACACCAAATAAGACACTGATTGGCTCTGCCAGCAATGACAGACAAATTCATGCCAGGGAAAAGAGTTGGCTGACACTGTAGCCCACGTGTACCTGCCCAAATTTCAGCCAGTGCAAGGTCTGCAAGATTGTGCCCCTTGGCAGACCAAAGTCTGCTCTGATCTACACCATAACATCTGTAACGCTCTCAAATCTGCTTTTTGTCACAAAAAGCCAAGATCTGAGAGAAATCACCTCACCAATTAGTAACATACCACCACCATTATCAACTGTTCTTGCAAAGCCAGTATAAAATATTGATGCAAAGTACTTTTTTTTTCTTTAATCATAAAAGTACCTAGAATATTACTAGTTTTCTAACTATTGCATCCAATACTGGACATAAAAAAGGATTACATTTTTCAGGATGGGATCTCCAGTTCCACACCTACTAGAAAATCCCTCACTAACAGACAGTATTTTTAAAGAATTCAGTTCTTTATAACATATTCTGTACTCAGATTCAGCGTAGCAGAATCGTTCATTAGTTGAAACAAGAGCCAGCACTTTCTCATCAGATTTAAAGATTTTTCTTGTCTAATATGACTTATCATCAAGCTGCTTAAGACTAAACCAGTTAAATGAATTTACACTGTTTTTAAAGAACAGATACATAATCCATATGGATACACACTATAATTGTCAGACACACCACGCTAGCACCACCACTGACTTCATTAAGAAAAACATGTGCTCCTACACATCAGCCTTTCAAACTACAGCACATAAGCACCAGCCACATTCCAAACATCTAAATGCATTCTTCACAATTCTGAAACGTGTCTGCTGATGGTGCCTGTTTGTTTTTTTTCATTTTGAAGGCAGAAGATAAAACCTAATTGTCACTAGTTAAAATAATTCAAAGTTGAGAAGAAGTACCATTATTGCTTCTAAGCCACTGGTAAGAAGCTAGAATTCCTGTAAACAGACCGAAATTTACGATCCAGCAAAGGAATACAACACATTTCAGTTAGCGTGCCAAAATTATGAGCGTATTATGATGCCATATAAAAACATACTTACATTTCGATTAAATTTTGTGAAGGAATGATGCATATAAAACCTGTGCATGTAAACAATTGCCGTATTTATCGTAAGCTGAGACCTGGAAGAATTAAATTAAGGAAAGGCCGCCTATTGAGAAAACTGCTTGCGAGAACCAAAAAAAGGGAGGTACACTGTCGTCGGTAGGGGATTTGGTCTTACTCTTAAAAATAATCAAGTCACGGGTAGTGAGGAGGAGAATTTTCAAGGAGAATGGGTCTGTAAGCAACTGGGATCACTTTAAAAGTGTCTAAATCCGCAGCTATGGATACAAAGGCGGCTGGAGGTAGAGTCGCCTCAGGTCTCCGAGGCTTTAGCTAGGTCGGAGACCTGAGGCGACTCTACCTCCAGCCCAAGAGGCCCTGAGGAGACCTGAGGCGACTCTACCTCCAGCCCGAAAGCCCCTGAGGAGACCTGAGGCGACTCTACCTCCAGCCCCCGAGAGCCCCTGTCTCCCTCACACGCCGACAAAGGCGGCGAAGCGGGGGCTTGGCCAGGCTCCTCCTCCCATTTTGTGCCTCAAGGCCACGGCTCCATCCCCCCGGAGAGGGAGCGGGAAGAGTCCCGGGGAGGCTTCACACACCGGGGAGAAGGGTGAGGGCGAGAGGGGGGGGAAAAGAAGGCGATCCCGCCGCCCCACCTCCCCTCAGCCCCGTCCCCGCCACCCCACAAGGCCCCCCCCGCCGGGGATACACGTTGAGGCGCTGGCCCATATCTTGAATGAGGTTGGCGGCCTGCTGCCGGTAGGAGAGCTCCTTGTCGGCCTCCACGCCGCAGCGACGGGATGGGGTGTTCTCCAGCTGGTCGCGGCTGAAGAACCAGCGCGACGCCGTCGAGGAGCCGCCTCCTCCGCCGCCGCCCCGCGCTGAGGTGCCCGCGCCTGAGCCCGCCGCCGCCATGACACTTCCTCCCCCTCCCTCCTCCGCCGCCGCCACCGCCCCCCCGCCCTCCATCCCAGCTCTCGCGAGAACTCCCCGGCCTCCCGCCTCTGCGCTCCGAACCATAGAGTGCGGCCTCCGCGCAGAGAGAGCGGCCGCCCAAGGCGCGTGGGGGGAGGGTCACGTGGCCGGCGGCGGGCGGCCATAGAAAGGGAAGGGACCGGCCGCGCCTCAGGAGGTACTTCTGGAATTACGGAAGTGACGTCTCCGCCGCCCTCCTCTTGACTGGCCGGCGGCAGGGCGCTGATTGGCTGGGGGTGGCGCGGCGCGGATAAGCCCTCCCGTGGCGCGCGGGGCGGCGGCCGTTGGTGCGCGCGGGGCAGCGGTTCCCTGAGGCGGCGGCGCCCCCTCAGCGGGGCGGGTCAGCGGCTCCTCGGGAAATGGCGGCGGGGTGAGGGGGCTTCCCTCGGCTGTGAGGGGAGGCTCCGTCCGGCAGCGGCGGGGAGCGGAGCTGGGGTGCGTGTCTCCCTCCCGGCTCCCTGCGGCCGCCTCCTGCCGGAGCGGGAGCCGCAGGGGAGCGGCGGCTGTGCCTCGCCGGCTCCAGTCGGGCCTTCCCGGGCCGAAGGGCGGTCGGTTGGGAATATGGGTGCGGTAAATGGCCTCTGCCTGCCAGGCCAGAGAGCGGGCTGACGCTGCCTCAGTATCACAGCGCAAGGCTTACACCATGCTGCCCCTTGGCACACCAGGGTCTGCTCTGGGCTGGAGAATAACGCCTGGCACGCCCTCAATCCGTTCTTTTTATCATGAAAAGCCAACGTGTGTTTTGTTCCTTTGCTGGATTGTAAATTTTGGTCTGTTCACAGGAATTCTAGCGTCTCACCAGTGGCTGACCTTCCCCCAACTCTAAACCATCTGTAAGATTTTGCACGTGCAGAGGAAATTTAACTACAGAGACTTCTGTTGTAATTAGGAGCTGATCTTTGCCTTCATATTTTTGTGCCTTTAACAGTCTTCAATGTTTTACCACAATTTTAAAATCACTGTGTAAAATGCATGGATATTGGGTGTTCCACTTACATATTTTTTTTTTATTCCTTCAGTAATGGTGGAAGACTATTAAGAATGTTCTCGTCTGCCCATAATTAGAATTTTACATTAGCTTTGTTAATGGGGAAAAAAAAGGAAGATGAAAGGAAGATTATATATATCCATGTCTTAAAAATCTTAACACATTGAGAATAAGTAGAATATCATTAAATAATGTCAGTGCATAATGACTATGATTTATGCAGGGTATGCACATTAATTAATTGCCATGCAGAGTGCTGCAATCACCCATTCAGTCACAGGTTAAGGTAATTAAATACTGTTCTTGCTATTGGAAAGGTTCCAGACCTTGGTCCCCAAAGATGTAACATTGCATTCTCACTAACAAGTTTCATTCATAAAAAAAAAATTAAAGATTTAATCCAATTAAAATGTACTGGAGGAATCAGAACATCTTTTCTTCTTAAATCCATTTAAAAATCTGTGAAAATCAAATATGCTGAAGGAAAAGAATATTATGTGAGAACGAAGTTGCCTTTCTTCCACTTTGAAATTTAATTAAAAAATCATACATATAAGTAGCTCAATGTTTGCATGTAGATATTTAAATAAAAAAGGTCAACAGAAGTCTTGTGAACCTGAGGACAACAGATATCTTTAAAGGTATTTTATCTAGATCCTCTTTTCCTCTTCCATGAGAACCTGATGTTCCCAGGGCCTAAACCTGTGAGCTGCTGTCTTCTGCAGCTTCTGATGGCCAGTCTTATTTATGGAATATATTTGGAGAAGCAATATAGTCAATATCCAAATGCAATAGCTAGGAAACATAATTAACCTGCACAAACCACTTCCTGTTTTGGTTTTTGTCACTGAAGAAGGACAAAGCCACCTTCGTAGTCCAACTGAGGCTGGTATCAGCAGGAACTGCTGATGTTCAACATCCTTCAGGGTCAGTCTGTGATGCCAGGACAGTTATGGACACAGCTACAAATCAAATTCCATCCAATACTGTTTTCTCCTGGAGTAATCTAGGACTAGAGAGAAGAATGGTGAGACCACACGTAGCCAGCAAACCATCCCATGAGAAGGGAGACAGCCAGTGCTCATCCGCATTCTTCTGCCTGGTACAAAGGCCCCTCAGGAGGAGGATGCCTGTGCACTCACCAGATAATCCTGAAACCCCATTTCAATCAAGAGTCTTTAAAGTAAACCATCTTTCCATTCCTATAGCGGGACTCAAACTAGATGGAGCACAAACTTTTCAACACTTAAAGTATCCAACCTTACTCATAGGAAGTATTTTTTAAGGAACAGAACATTAAACCATACTGTTGCTAAACACTAGTATTTATTTTGACAGGGACACCCAAAGTATTACCCACACAAATACATTCTTTCTGCACCTACAACCACATTGTTCAAACTGTTTGTGAGAAGTTGCCAGCGCTGTAGGAGGCAGCTAAAGAGCACAAGTCCCCACACAGACCTTTTTCATCCTCTCACAACATTTACAAGGTGGCAGAGCTGAGCTGCTGTGCGACGCTGCAATGCCAAATGTTGCCTTTTATCAGGCATCAAGAAAATTCTGTTTAAAGTCTTTTTTTTAAGGTTCTTCTAAATTCTCTTATTTGGCATAACAAAGACTGAGATGTAATGGCTACAAGGCATAATTTTCTCAGTTCTTTTCTTCCTGGGAATCAAGTCCTAATAAGATGACATTGATTATCATTCAGAGAATCTTACTAGAGGTGCAAAAGATTAAATCTTTCCTTTTTGGTGAAAGCAGGGATTTTAGAATTGGTTAAAGACACCATAAATCCTCAAATGCACAGAAATACCTGTGCGTGCTAATTTCCAGTACCCTTGCTTTTGTTTTGGAAGTAACAGTAGTTATTAACAAATACTTGTCAAATTTATTTTTCCTCTGTATAATTGCATGTACAAATAGAAGTTTCCCCAAACATTCAGTGCTATTCCTGAAGTTTGGTCTCTTTAGTGTCGTTATAATTATTCAAATTGTTTTCTGCTAAGACCCAAAAATTCCAGAGCATTTCCAGCCTTGAGTTTATCCTGTAAAAACAAAACACATATATGTTTGTGTGTGCTTAACTCATATTTTACTCAACTGTTTTTACTTATGCTTTAAAATGAACTGCTGCAAAGAGACTAAAGGGCCTCTACTAGTCTTTGCAGAAATCACTGTACCACACTGATTTTTCAGTGTTTTATCTCATGTCTAAAACTAGAGGCTTAAAAAGAAGGGAAAAAAACCCCAAATGTAAGGATCATACCTTCAGTTTATTGTCAAAATCTTCCATTGAATCAATCAATTTTCCAGGTTCCAGCTCCCCAAGTGGAAAAGGGTAATCTGTCCCCAGAATGACTTTGTCCTGGTAATAAAAAAAACATGTTGTACATTTTGCAGTAACATTAAACAATATAGTTGCATGTGCTTTCTGGAATTTATAATAAGCCACAGGAAATCACATGCATGTATTGGGCTGATTAATTGCAGAAGTGAATATGAGATAATCTTTGGGTTCTAACTTTCATTAGGAAAAAAAACAGAGCTCAAAAAGTACGACTCCAGTTTACTGGGTGAATTTAAGTTTGAAAAAGTACAGATTATTTATTGCTTTTGTGGTGTCTCACTGAAGTTTGGTGTATTTTCATTCTGATACACAAGAAGTTCAAAATCCAAATCCCAGCCCCCTGGGAATGAGCGTATATTGCTCAGGTGAATACAACATAAATGGTAATTTGTAATGCAATAAAACATGTAATAAAGAATACAACATGTATTACATGTATAAAACATAAAATAAAAAATACAAAGCAATTGAATTTATCTTCTGTGTGATACTTGAAAAGCTGTAATAATTGCAATGTGATACTGCTTAAAGCATGGTACAGTGTAGAATTACCACAAACACTTAAATAAATAAAAAAAGTATTTAGTTTAATTTAATTAGTATTCAGCTTCAGATAACAAACCCAAAATCTCATTCACAAAATTTCATGTATTTTTGGAAGCCTGTAATTTTTTTTAAAATGTCATTGTCTTTAACTGGGGATTGGATATTAGCTGTGTGCTTAAAACATGTGTCTGAAAATGTGAGTGAAGGATATAGAATCATAGAGTCATCTAGGTTGGAAAAGACTCTTGGGATCATCGAGTCCAACCATCTACCCTACTCTACAAAGTTCTCCCCTACACCACATCCCCCAAAACCACATCTAAACGACTCTTAAACACGTCCAGGGATGGTGACTCAGCCACCTCCCTGGGCAGCCTATTCCAGAACACTCTTTTTGTGAAGAATTTTTTCCTAATGTCCAGTCTAAACCTACCCTGAAACAATTTGTTTCTGAAAGCAAATCAGTGAAAAGAAAATTCAATAAAAACCTGTATGCATCATTCCTGTTATCAGAGATGAAAAGAAATAGGCAGATCCTCAATAGGTCCACATTGTTATTGGTTCATTTTCACACTGGAATGATATTTCCCCATTTTATCTACCTTGGAGATTGCCTGCTGCCAACTCTCTTGATTTTATCAAAAGTCTATTTTCCTTTAAGCTTCATCTCCTGGAGACATGAATATTTGAAAACCACAGTTTTCATTAAAAATATATGTTTTTAAATGTCTCAGGAATTTAAAGTCAAGCTCATGAATTTGAGGCACTTGTTATAATATTTGAACTCCGCTACCAATGCTGAAATAGGATGAAGAAAACATAATTCAGTTATTTTATGATATTATTCGTTTTTCTTATTTGCCAATGATTTTTTTTTAATTATTTTTATTTTTTCACTTCCAGTAGATGTCACCCGAGAGTCTCTGAAAGCACCTATACAAAAACCTTATAAGAAATCCAAACAGAAGATACACATTCTATTGTTCTGTCCTATATTGTTGTGTTATAATTTAATTTAGAAGCCTTGCCATAAGATTAGGAGAATTTATACCCTCTGTCTACTAAATCAAGTTTCAAGTGCAGATTAAACAAAATATATTTGGATGTGTATATGTTTAAGCAGCTAAATACATTCCTTTGTTTATAATATTCAATCTGATACCAAGATATTTTCTTCAGATATGAAAAACAAATGTATGCCATATAAAAAAAACCAAACCACCAAAACAACCAATAAACATACTAGGTTTATATAAGAAAAAGGATTTCTAAGTAAAGGAGAGGGAAACCCAGTATTTGCCCAGTTGTTTATTAGTCAAGGTTAAATCAGCCAGGGAGGTGTGTACATTCTTGTTTACATCTCCTGTATACCAAAGCAGAAAGAAATCCCATGTCCTTATTGGAATAATATATATATTACTTCAATTGCATTTTTCTTTTCTTAAATGTAAAGTGTTTCACAGCTAATTGTGATCTATTCATTAGCAGTAAAATTAAGGGCTGTAAATTAATAAGAAAAATCTAGAAGCAGCATTATTGCTCTGCTACTAGTGATATTCAGTTAGTCATACATACTCTTTGAGCTCCAGTTTCGTGCCTATCAAATGGTGATTGCAAGCCCTGCCTTTAGCAGCCAGCCTCAGAGAAGTCCTGTGAAGTCTCTGCAGATAAGCAATACTCCTAGCACAACCGACTTATTAATATCTTATTCCAAAGCATATCAACAAAGTCAGTTTTCCCTAGAGGACTTTTAGTTCAATACCTTAATTAGCACATCTCTACTTTTTAAAAGGTACATATGATTAACCTCTGTGGGCCCTTCTCCTCAGCTGAATTTCTTCTGCAGTAATAGGGACCTCAATCTTAAGATGAATCTCAAAGAGCATCAAGCATGAGTTTGTCCTCCTACATTAGTGAGAAACTGTATTTGCCTTGAGTCTCACTTTCTTTCCTACTCTCAAGATACCTCTCCACAGGAGGCCAGGTTGCTATAGCCCGTTCAGCTCCAACTTCTGGCCAGAGAATTTTCTACCTTTGGGTGAAGGCTCTTGAGGAATCACCATGGGAAAGTTTTTGCAGAAGTACACTGAATCATTTAATCCCCTGTCAACTCAGTTCTTCACTTTTTAGAGCCAGCATCATCAGGGGTTTTGTGTTTATTTATATTCACTTCAAGCTACCTCATCGTGGGGGGAGTGAAGGACTGCAGCAATTTTGCAGTCTTACAAAATTCTCTCTCAAAAAACATACACTTCTGCCTCCTTTAAGTGGGGCAGGCTCCAATTAACCTGCCCCCAAAACTAAGAAAGAATGAAGTTAAATGTACGTGACTCATCACAGCTGTCACTGGGTTTTAATATTCATAAGCCCAAAGCCAACACTTCACATTCCGGTGCCAGGTAACGGCTGTTCCCCAAGGCCCCCAAGCCACAGCTTTACACACACCGATGCCCTTCCAGCGCAGCTCCTGCCTGTGCTCCAGAGACCTGGCCTATTTCAAACCTTCAGCTCCTGAAGTTACAGTGTCACCCTCAAGACACATTGTTTTCAGCCCAGCGTTTATTCGTCTTATTCTGCCAACACATGGCTGCACTGGAAACGCTGGGATATTTGGAATTTTTTTAAGCATTTGACACTTTCATCAGAAAAAAAAGAGAGAACTTTTTAATCTTCATGGTTATAAAGTAAAGCTTGAAAATGTGAAGTGAATGTTTTTTTCAAGGTTAAGATGCCTTAGGCTATGAAAAAGAGGAAAAAAAAAATACACTTTTTCTTTCAAGTTCTCTGGAGTGTTAAAAGCATTTAAGTTTTTGGGATCTGACGCAAGACTTTTCAGTGCCAGGGTTCCACCTGATGTCACATTGCTTGAACTCAAAATAGTTAGAGGAGAATTAACGAAGACAGCAACATCCTATGTAGTATAGCAGTCCAATTTTTTTTGCATTAAGAAACTTTCAGAAGTCTCTTGACAAAATAAACAAGACAGCAGAGAGGCTATTGCTGAGTGACGCTGAGATTATCAAATTAGAATCCATAACCTCTCTCTCCTCAAACAACTACATTTGAGTTGCAAAGACTGATCATGATTAAGGGGCCAGAGCCTACGTGTCACTTCTTGGGAAGAAAGGTAGAGAAGTTACAGTTTAAGTGTGGTGTGAAGAGAGCAGCTTTCCCACAACAACCACAGCTCAGAGCAGCCTTGAGAAGCAAAGCTAACTCCTTACTTGAAAGCAGAACTGCTCCGAGACTTACCTTCTATACAAATTAAAACAGAAAAAGAATTCAGTTCATCATCAATGATCATCCTGTTGTACTTTCTCTCCTGCTTTGCTCTTGCCATCTATGGTTCAGGTTCTAACAGAATCAGAGCAGGAAAAGAATCTGTGGGCCTGAGCCCTGCTGAGTCACGCAGCTTCTAATTTCCTAAGGTCTTTCTAACAGCAGCAGAACACGTCTCCCAACATTTTAAAATGGAAAAGAAACAAGCAAGTGACCTTGTCTCCTTGGCATTAAAGAAATATGCATCTGACCACCTAAACGTGGCAATTTTAAATTGAAGAGCTAGACTCAGAAAGAAAACACTCAGCTGTCTTTGGAGAGGCTCTGATGACAGCAACAGCCCCGTATGTGAGAAAGGACTATGTAAGCCTAGAAACTAACGTACAGGAATCGGGAATACAGTTGCTGAGACAAGAAAGTCAATGTCAGAGCGTGCATTTCTGTTTTTGACATCTGGTAGGTGTCTGCCTGCTGGCTGCACAAACTCCACAAGGTCCAGAGATCAAGACACAAACCCAGGTCCCTTGCTGATTTGTAGCGATCCATTGGAAGCTGGCACGAGTGATGCCATCTTCAAGCCCTTCCTGAACATTTACTAACGAGAAGGAATTATTTGAATGTTTTTGCATTTTTCTCTCCCATGCTGTATCCAAATTAAATAGGCTGCTAAACCACAAAGCTTTCTTTACTCTCTACTCTAACAAAGTATTTTTGCAAACCCATGGTGTTGAATTTTCTCTCCAGGATCCTCACAAAAAAATGATGATTGACTTTTTTATGCCTATAATTTCCCAAATGGAAATGCAATTTGGTTTCTTCAAGTACACACCTGAGTTGGAAAATTAAGCCATTTGAAAACAAGGCTCCAAATGAAGCAGTCTTTGCTTGCACTCCCATCCTGAACAGCCTTACACAAGGAAGTAACCTCATTGAACTAAGGTTGACAGTGCACGATTTCCTGGGTTAAAACCACCATTTCAATACCTCCATATAGTACAAACATTACCAACATGGCAGAAGCACATCAGTTTGTGATAGCCAAGATAATGCTTTTACTGGGTCAATCTGCTCTCTTCTTCCTGCTTTCTTCCTCTCTTCTCCCTTTGCTATAGTGAAGTAAATAAAGAAGGACTCACCAGCTTCTGGAAGCACAGAAACTCACCTCTCCTATTACACTTGTCAGCAGCCTTAGTGCACCACGATCGTGGACAAGGGAGTCTGTGTAAAACGAACCAAGGTATTTTCTTGGATCCACCTTATTATCCATCGCACACAAATCCGGGCGCACGTTGAATCCATGGGAGATTCGCCCCACTGTGTATGGAAAAGCTCCACCTGCAAGAAGAAATGTTTAGTAACAGAAGCTGTAAACATGCAGGAGTAAAAAAAAGCCACATTATCAATAGAGGTCCATAAGTTTTACTGTCAGCTATTTAGGAAGAAAGTGCTCTGCATGAGCAATTTTTTACTCCTTCCCCTTCATTAGCTTTTCTCTGTTTTCCCCACTTCTTCCCTACTGCCCCCCTGCTGCTTCCTCGTCCCTTCCCCCAAACAATCTCCTCTCCCTTGCCTCCTCCTTTCCCTTAAAGGCTGTTTTAACAGTTCAAGTACTGGCTGAAACAGGTTAGAGAGTGTTCATACAAGCAGCTGATCTGGCAGATTATCTTCTTTGGGGTAAATAATGTTCAGCTGATGGCAGACCTAGAGTGGTAACCCTATTAGCTGACATATCAAAAATCAGGAAGTAAGGAGCAGGTGTTTCAATATGGTATATTACTTACCTCCATGTGCAAAGCAAACTTTCAGCTTAGGAAATTTTTCAAAAATTCCTCCCATAATCATGGAGCAAATGGCCATGGTTGTTTCTGTTGGCATGCCTAAGAACAAAAAGAGCTTCACTGTATGAGAGTTTTATTTTTTATTTTCCCATTTGAGTTTTAAATGGTATTTTCATTTCCATCAATTAACCTTGAGCCTACTGAAAAACTAATAGTCACAGAGCAGCTGCCAAAGGTTACGTATTATTTCTATTAGAGGAACACTAAGTTGAACATTAATTAACTGAAATGAGGACACGGGACTGGAAACCATGATCTTCTGAATTCTAAGCCCAGCTTTTATCCTACCTCACTAGGACAGCTGACAGGTGGGTTGGGTATGTCCTGAACTGTGCAGTACAGCCTTGATTCCCCAGCTATCCAAGCTCAAAGACAAGTATGGAATATGCCAGGTTCTCTTCTCAGTTGTTTTCTGGGTTTCTTTTGTGTGGAAAATGGGGCAGATGTGCTGGTGGATATTCCAACACAGATTTGGGGGTTAGTTATGACATGATGCCAGTTCCTGCAGTTTAGAAATAACCTATCTCTCTTTTGGCCTCTGGGTAACTTGGATGCTCAGTGTTAGGAACATGTCAGCAATTTAGGTTCCTACATCGGGCCACAGTTTCTAAGCACACCTAACATTTAGAATATCATCGCATCTAGGCACCAAACTTCAGACATCCAGCTTGAAATTAGGAACTCAGTTCCCCTCATCTATGGGGGAAACAATACCTATCCAGCTCAAAAGGCTGTCTTTCATTAATGTTTTACCATACGTTCAGATGTGTTGGACTTTATGGTTGCACTTGATGATCTTGAGGGGCTTCTCCAACCTAAATAGTTCTATTGAGGGTGGAATCAGCTCCGAGCATTTCTAGGTAGCAGGATAATCTCCCTCCTATTATTCAATGTTGTTCTGATTTCCCTAGCAGATGGGGAAAAAAACAGAAACTGGATTATTTGCTACATCTATGGGGAACTTTCAAAGTATGTGTTGTTTCAGTTACAGTTGATGTGAACTCAGATTTATATCCTCTAACCAATCTATTTCTAGGAAATAATCCAAGAAATTCTAAAAAGTAATATTCGGTTTTGCCTACTCTTTCAACTCACATTATTTTTGAGGAGCTCATTTCAGAGACTTTTCTCTGCTCTTTGTATTTAAGACAAAAGAGAATACTAGATTCTGTTGCTAGTCTGAATAATTTGAATTCTAAGTATTTAAAAGTTAGACAAACTACACAAGCTTAAAAATAAATGACTCCTGAATTTACAGAACAGATTTAATTGCAGTACTTGATTTAAAATAAAAACACTGATAGAAAAATCATGTGATTTTTCTCTGTACCTTTGCAACAATCTTCTGGATGTACTCCAGCAACAGTTCATAAATTTAGGTTAAGCAAAGTAAGTATACACTCACCTATTAGCCAGGGAAACCAGTATTTGGACATCCTTCCATCTATCTGCATGTCCCAGGGATGCACAAAGAGGCAGCAATTCAATTTTTCAGCAGCCTGCCGCAAAAAGAAAAAATCTTTTTAGTTACCATACTGAATCATACTAATCATACCTAATCATACCAATTATCATACCGAATGCATACTCATATTAATCATATCAATCATACCAAAATGCATCTTAATTCTTAGCCATGCTTTAAAGATTACCTGCAAAATTGTACTGAGTTAGTGCAATTATGTTAGTACAATTAGTACTAATAATGAAAATAGGCCCAGAAGTAAGAACTATAAGCAATAGTTGGTTATATTTACTCCTCTGGGCCATATCCTGATGTCCTCACTCAGTTTTGAAGTTTTTTTGAGACTACAGGATTAGAAACACTGATGGTAATACCTTTTTAGCAAGCCAAGTGTTCCTCAGATTAATGTGGTACAAAATTCTTTTTTAGCTGTGTTTCTCAGCCATCCTGCAGTATAAAACTCAGTTCAAACTAGCATTCTTTTGGTTTTATTACACATATAAGGATGAATTCTCATAATGTTTTATAGAACCATTTTAGGATGGTTTTGCAGAATTGTTCCAGCTGCATTCAGGAATTTTCATTGCTGTTGTGCTACATTTGTCCCCTTTGGCCCTCTGCCTGGGTTAAAAAAACATTCCTAATCCACCCTAAGAGTCTGAAATCTAGCTGTATTCTGATCAATAATCCATCTCCACTCAAGTATATTAAATTTTCACAAACTACTGACATCTTTGGAAAGGAAAATGGGAGAATAATATAGAATGCTGATTATGACTGAGTAATTTAACTATGTGCTTAAATTTAAATATATAGTCATCAGAGTAATTCATATGCTTAACCAGGATGTAACAGCTTCGTTTTGTCAGATGTATTTCTGGACCTCCTCTTGTTGCTAAGGAGATTATCACACATTTGAAAAATTTGGGTTTATTTACCCATACATGCATAAATAAAGCTGCAGCTTTTGGATTGTAGGGACTAATTGCCATCTACATTTGTAAACTAAAAATAGCAACTCAATAACTGGCTTGGTAGATTGATAAAGTTCATTATCAAATATGGCTTAATTTCACAATCTTTATTATCCAGGCATGTTTCTAAAATTGATAGAGGTTACTTCCTACATGTGTTAAACATAAGCTGAAGAATATAGAGTATGAGAGAGAGATCCCAGTATAATGATGAAGGGACTGGAGCACCTCTCCTATAAGGAAATGCTGGGAGAGCTGGGATTGTTTGGCCCCGAGAAGAGAAGGTTCAGTGGGGATCTCATCAATGTATACCAATACCTGAAAGGAGGGTGTAAAGAAGATGGAGCCAGGCTCCTTTGGTGTTGCCCTGTGACAGGACCAGAAGCAATGGGCACAGACTGAAACACAGGAGGTTCCCTCTGAACATCAGGAAACACTTTATTACTATGAGGGTGACTGAGCACTGGCACAGGTTGCCCAGAGATGTTGTGGAATTTCCATCCTTGGAGACAGTCAAAAGCCACCTAGGCATGGTCTGGAGCACCTGGGCACCCGGCTCTAGGTGGCCCTGCTTAAGCAGGGGGTTGGACCAGATGAGCTCCAGAGTCCAACCTTGGCCATGCTGTGATTCTCTGAATGTGTGCATCTCCAAGAGTGGAAGCTGATAACTGACTGTATATTACCATAAAAACAAGTGGTCCAGATGCTGCACTAACAGAATTCTTGAATAAATTTGGCATTCTGAAAAATAACCTCTATAAATCAATTTCAAGCTGACAGCTATAATAAGCTGAAACAGATACAGAATATGCATTAATTAAACTCCATAATTTAGACAAATGACCATCCTCATCTGGACCTCGGGTTATTTAAGTAATGCAATCAAATTAATTTTACAATCAATACGTTCAATTTGGAACTTTTGGTCCCATTTGCATAATTTTGTATGGTTCCTTAGCTCTACCAGAATGTCTGAAAATCTCGGGGAATTGTATCAATTATCTCAATAGGACTGGATACAGTAACTTGATCCCAAAAGCAAACAGTGCAGAAATGCTTTATTTGATACTTCACTTATCCTCACAAACCGAGAAGGCAACTCTACTTTAAGAACTCATATCATAAAAAGATCTTATTTATTATTATAAAGTATGTTTCAGAATGTTTTATATTGTACTATTGTCATTATATCCTATATAATTATAATGTATAATGAATTATCATATATACTTAAAGGTTTGATCACTAAGGAGATTGGAAGGCTCAATTGTTTTAATGTACCTATAATTTTAGTTGATGACTGAGTATGTCCCAAGATATTTTTAATCAGAATTCTGTATCATAGAATTCCCCAAAAGAAGGAGAGAAACATTTACTCACAGCATAAATATCGTACAGTTCTGGTGCATTCAGGTCCCATTCATTGACATGAGATCCTATTTGTACTCCAGGAAATCCAAGTTCATTCACGCAGCGATGCATTTCCTTCACAGCCAGGTCTGGAGCTTGCAAAGGTAACGTTCCCAAGCCAACAAACCTCTTGGGGTACTTTTTTACTGTAGCAGCTAAGTCATTATTTAATATCTGTGCTAGATCTAAAGTATCCTGAGGTTTGGCCTGGTAAGACATTAAGCAGAATAGTATATTAAAATATAGTTCTCAAATGTTATCACCTTTGGAAGATATCAGATAAATGTCACAGCAAACAATTCAGAGAGAAAGTTTGAACCCAAAATTTACAGTTCTGAATGGCTGCAAACCAGCAAGGCTAAATTTTGCCTCATTTTAAAACCTATGGGTGCAGTTCTGCTTCTTGCCTTGAACATTTTATCAACTGCTGTTGCCTTTCCTGCTCAGGATGAGCGTAATAAAGCCCAAGTTGCTGAATCACTTAAGTACCTGATCTTTTGTGTAAACCAGCCCTCTTCTTTTTTTTATCCCAATGCAAAAACCTCAGCATATCATTTTTAAACATAGCAATGAATATTTACTCTCCTATTATTGAAGCTGAAGAGATAACACCAAGAAATGTGAGATGCTGGAGCATGAGAATTCTACAGAGAAAACCTGAGCAAACCTCTCTAACATTTAGGAGATAATAACTGTAATAAGGGAACTGCAATATCCATACAACATTTCCTGGTTTTCCCTAATACGTATTTAAAGGAAAATATTCCCATAAATACCAGATTAAAATTTTAAAGATACGTCACTCGACAAGAAATTCTGAAGATCAGTGGTACTACTTATATGTAGTAGTACCACTATGTTATGGGCTTAACACACTGATTTTTAATGTAGCATTTCTGTTTCCATACAACAATTTGACCTGTACACAGAGCTAAATAGTCACATTGAGACTGTATTTAGAACAGCATTTTGCTATGATATATCTTCTCAGACTGTTTTTATTTCTTTGATGCATTCAAAACCACCATGCAGGGAACATACTAATTTAAATTTGCTACTGAATTTTAAGATTCAAAGCATTCTAGGTCAATGAGTTCCATACCACACTTAAAAGAAAGTGGGACAAGACCACAAATACATCTTTTACGTCTTTTTTTCATGAGGAAATACTGACTGATGTCTAGTTTTTACAGAATCTGTACATATATGTCTACCTGCTAACCATGGATTCACACTGTGTAAATTCTCTCTCTCTGTTTCCAACACCCCCCATAAGGTCCCCAGAAGAAATTCTGTTGTCTCATTCTTTCTAAATGGGTGTACCACGGAGCAGAGCTTTGCCAGGACACCCACCCTGCTGGCTCTTCTGACACCCGGACTATTTTTTTGTCTTTTGTTTTTCACAGCAGAATGCTCTACTGACTACTTCAATCGCATAATTTACAGGAGGATGCATTTATTTTTTAAACAATTTGTAACATATGAATTAGAAAATATGCTAGTAGGAACCTACCCAGTAGCTGAACATGACAGGGACTGTGGAGAGGACTTGGACTGTGACTCCTGAGTAAGAAAAAGCAGTTATTAATCTTGCCTCTTTTTTTTGTAAAATTTTAAAAATTAAGATTTTGGTTTGAAAGGTAGAAGGTAAAAGCTTTAATGGTAAGAAAGATTGATTTAACAGTGGTATGGATGGAATCTTCTTTTTTGCTAATTGTTGATCACGGTAATAAATCTTGTAGTATATCAGTTTGTTAGTATTGGAATATTTCTGCTAAGTAGGAAGAAAAATAACACTTTCCTACTCATACTAGATTATTTTGTGAAACTAAGTATTTTGATTTTAAAGTATTTAGTATGCATGTGTACAATTAATTAAGATAGCTATTTAATGTTACTCTCACATAAATGAATGTGACATTAAACCAAAAGAATACAGTATCTTAAGTTTACTTATGTTTATCACATATATTTAATAAATAAATAGGCAAATTAGCTCAAAGATAAACAATGTTACACCAACAATCATTGTTAATGTGTTTCCCAAAGCCCCTTGTGTTAGGTTTCATTCATCCCGTGTCTGGACTACTGAGGCTGTAAATATAAGAAATTCTGTCTGTTTTTAGAAATAACTTTGATGTTAGCGATAAAGAAAATTAAGTCTCTGTTGGTTTGTTTCTGTTCATAGGCATCTCTATACCATAAGTTTGTGTGTGACAGGCTACAGGAATGAACACAACAAACCTAGCAGATTAACAACAGAAGAAGCAATAAATGATAATTAGGACTTCACTAAATAGTTACATGCAAAACTTTTTTTTTTTTTAATTTTAGATCTGATTGTAATACTTATGCACATATGTGGTCATGCTTCAGAAAATGTAATTTTGTTGTGAGTAATGAAACCTGTAATGCAAAAGATAGCAGAAAAACCTCTAAGAGCTTTTTTTCTAAGACAATGACCTTGCCAAAGCGCTCAAAAGTGTAACAAAATTATTTTTTCTCCTTCTCAGTGTCTTAAGTAGAAAACATAGAGAGGAAGTTGACTCTCTTTTACAAGATCTGATCAATATTATATGCAGCAGCAATGGTTTTGAATTAAGGATTAGGTCTGCAAAATTACATATATACCTAAGTACAGCCTAAGTCGTAATGTCCACCAATATGCTACAGGACACTTCATTAGTATGTTTGAGAACACTCACCATGTTTTACAAAATAAACATTATATCTGGTTTCAATCCATTTTTACACTTAAGAGCAAATTTCACATAAACGTTAGGGGAAGATTTCCACGCTGAACATTCCTAAACACTAGCTTTAGGAAGAACAAGAATCAGCACAGAAAAACCTCTACTTTTTACCCTCTTCAGAGGGTTTTATTACAAGGAGAAAATAGTAAGAAAAAAGAAGTTAGGATTAACTGAAACTTTTTCTCCAACAAAATTGTAATGATCTCCATCACAGAATTGTGATGTTCATTATCTTTACAGCTTGTTTTATTGAATTATGTTGATAGCTTGTTGTATTGAGTGGATCAAGACACAGGCTTGTTATACCAAATAGACATAGGACAGATGACTACGAGAACTAGTTTAGTCTCTTTGGTACAGTGGCTACCATTTCTTATTACTGGCAAGACTTCTTGGGCATTACACAAAGCCTTTTAGCAACCAAGGTGCAAGTTATCTCTCTGAGTCAATAATTTTCTTCATAGTTTTGGGTCTGTGCTGGACACAGTGTTGATAACACACAGGGATGTTTTTGTTATTGCTGAGCAGGGCTTGCACAGGGTCAAGGCCTTTTCTGCTCCTCACACCATCCTGACAGTGAGCAGCCTGGGGGGGGCACAAGAATTTAGGAGGGGGGAAACAAGAATTTGGGAGGGGACACAGCCAGGACAGCTGACCCCAACTGACCAAAGGGCTATTCCATACCATACAACATCCTGCTCAGTATATAAAGCTGGGGGAAGAAGAAAAAAGTGGGGGCACACCTTTGGAATTATGGTGACTTGTTTTTCCAAGCAACCTTTATGCATGATGGATCTCTGCTTTCCTGGAGATGGCTGAACACCTGCCTGCTGATGGGAAGCTGTGGATGAATTCCTTGTTTTGCTTTGCTTGCCTCCCACCCAGCGGGAAGGGGAGCGAGCGACCAGCTGTGTGGCACTTAGTTGCCGGTTGGGACTCAACCACAACGTGTCTTACACTGGCTGGTAATAGCTTTGTTCAGCCAGAAGACTCCTTGCACCTTTGTTCCAAAATTATGCCATATTTGGAGGTTAAACTCTTGGATGCAATCTATCACAGCCTCTGTTACAGAAAATGGTCTTCGAACTAAGTAGCTACAGCTTTGTAAACCGAAAAACAGTAAATGTGGCCAATAGTCTTTACCATTAGAAGACCAGTAAGAATGAAAAACACTAAGACCTTTTTTTTTTTACACTTAATTGGCGGATGCCTGTATCTCTGGAGTGCTGTAATAAAAAGGGACATTTTTACGGCACAAGTCACCAGATGGTGCTGTAACACACACTTTTAGATTTTTATTTTTTTTAACCAAGTGAGCACTGTTTAGTTTATAGAGAAATGTTGTGCTGTTGGCTTTATGACACATTTTGTGTTCTGAAGAGCTGTTGCAAAAATTTGACAGAATTGTTCCTGTGTCTTCCCTTTGTCTACAGCCAATAGATGGAGCAGAACTCTTTTATAGAAACTTGCCATTAGTGTTGGGGGAAATATCTCAAAGGGAATGATGCCCAAAGGCTATTTATCATCCGCACTGTGGTTGAACAACGTGGAAATCCCCCAAATCCCTGAGCTAACTCAGGGAATGATTACAGTCTAGTCAAGGCAGCATATTTCAGAGAGGTTGCAAAGACATTGCAGTATTCCCATTAGTAGTTCAGTGGTTGGAGTCTGAAATACTGCTCCTCCAGGGTAAAAATGATGTAGCTGAAAATTATCTAAGTTGTGTTTACATAAATTGCCCACCAGCCCTTGAGTTCCTAAATTGGCCTGTGTTAGGTGTTGCAGTAAACCTACATATGGGGAATGACCCAAAGTATCTCCTGACATACTGTCCCAGGAGAGAAAGAAACAATAATCATAAAGATGCTACTTATAAAATACCAGCTCTTTGAAGTAATTCAGTTGTTGATTCCTTACAAAAAATTGGAGAAGGTATTCAATTTGTGTCTACTGAGAAACTGATGCAGGGAATTATTCAGGCATCAATCTAAGAAAAAAATAATCTATACTAATATAATATTTCTCTCACAAAACTAACTTGGAATTACAGTGTTAATAAGAACTAACAAAAACAATTGATCAGACTAAAATTTTCTTCTCCCATTCTCAGTCTTCCATCTTACAAACCTCATTTAGTGGCATGTAAGTAACTTATATTTAAGTTATATATAAGCTTATATATAAGTTATATAAATAAATTTGCAAATTTGGCATCTGGTAGATGCTTTCTAATTCAGAAAAATTCTTTTCCGAGAAAGTAATTGTACCACTTGTCCAGGCTCAGGATCCTCTAGCAAAAATATGGAATGAAGATGCAACATGTAAACAGGAAAAAATATTAGAAAAGGAAACAAACATTTAAAAAATACTATGTGTAAACAGAATCTTTTTAACATTTGGAACAAAAATGGAAGGCCTTCCTCTTTTGCATAAACCACTTTTATACCTGGAATGCATACTGCCTTTCCAGGGTCACAGTCAAGTCATCTTTACTTACTCCAACTGTATTAACATTCTGTATTAACAATCCCACCAAAATCAGTGAGCCCATGTGGGGAAGAAATTGCTACTGAAAATGAGGTAAGTTTTGGGAACATGTCTTATTTAAGTCTGAATATAAAGCATACACATTTTCACTGACTTCCAACAAATTTAAACTAATTAATCAGTATGCTAAACCTTTTGATTTTGACATTGTTATTGAGCACTTTCAGATGCACTAACAGAGATGTTGCTGTAATTCTAAATGAGACACAATGATTTCAATTCCTTTATGGAAGTACCTGATAGGTCCATGTCTTTAATCCGTACTTCTGGATCCCAGCAGTTCTCTTGAATAACTCTAAAAACCTTTCCATCCTTCATCATCTTTGCCTGTCCCTGTGAAATGACATTTTCATATATTATAAATGTGACAAAGTAGTACATGCTAATTTATAGTCGCTTGAGTGTGTTCTGCTCCCTACAGAAATTCAGTCATAGAATTTTGGTTTTTTAATTTTTATTCACTAGGTATTTTAAATTAAAGACTATTTAAAAATAGTGATTAATAAAACAGTAATTTATAGTTCAGTTTTAATTCTTCAAAATAAAAAAAATCCCCTTTCTTTTGCAATGTCTATCACAGTATATTTGTTTGGAAAAGATACCAGGTACCTTAACCCAAGTTTATCCTCAAACCAAATTTTGACCTCAAAACAATGCTCTAATTAAAACTGTGCTAAATTTTCCCCTTGGGTATTTGTGTGTTCTTTTAAAGTCAATAGCACCACAATGATTCCAGTAACTATAGAAATAATTGTGCAACTCTGTTAATTTCAGTCCAGTTGTTTCATATCTCCAGCGATACGGAGACAAAAGGAGACCTATTATGCTGTCTTCAGATTACATTTTCTCCTTGGGAAAAAAAAAAAAAAAGAAAGGAATTATTGAAGAATTTGTATTTGGGAAAAAATCCACCAAACAAAACCTAAATGCAGCATAAAACCATTACCTGAATTAGTGTAATACCTTCCCCATATGCCACCAATTCCCAAACTTACAAAGTTCAAAATATTATCAAGGTCATGAAATTTAACACTGTTCCTTTAAACTTTTTAAACTTAAGTTTCGGTCGATTTGTCAATTGTCCAAAGAGGTTGAGAGGCAACAGCATCATCACATTAAGCCAAGTAAATTGTCTGTTACAGCTGTATGTATCCACATGCTTCTATGGACTTGTAAAGAGAGACAAAACAGTCTTTCTGTTGGCTTATGTTTGCACAAGTTGATGAGATACAGTTCACCAATACTTGCAAGGCCTGAGGATTTCTTGGTTGCCTGAAGCTACTCTAGGGATAAGTGGAAATGGGGGAAAGTCAGAAGATCTTCAAGTTGCTATGTATTTGGGATGGCTAAGCGCGGTCATGCAGCAGCTCTAAGGGACGGGGAACACGCTGCATCTGCAGTTGAACATTGAAAATCACATGTGAAAACACAGCAGCTATTCCTGCACCTTCACTGTAAACAGCAGCTAAGTGCAGGGCAGTCTTCTGACCTTTCTGGAAAAGGAATTCTCTCTCTCCAAAAGCCACTTTATTTTTCCTCATAAAATTTACTTATTTATGATCCTGTCTATTTTTCTGTTAAATCAGAATATTCCCTATTAGTATGCTAAAACAGAAACAGCTAATAAAATTTCACTACTCCTCACAGAGCTGGGTTTCTGTCCCCTCCTGAGAAGTCAGGCTGTTCTTAACCTTGAATTTGTTATTAACTTCATGCATCATTCACAAATATACTGCCCTAATGAATATTTTAAAGCTCTCTTCAACAAATCTAGCTGTGCTGCCTTGGCAAACTGTCCACTTACTTGTTAGCTATATCACAGGTTGTGAAAATCAGTTGAAATATTACAGTGAGTAATAACAACTAACATAGTCCTGATCCCCTGGTAAAATACTTTAGGTTCTTGTAAAATTGATTTTCCAACCTGACAGAAAGGTCTACTCCAGCCATACATTCCAATACATTAAAAAAATATTAGCAGATTGCCTAATATTGGCAAAATATTCAGGGTGTGAGTAGAGAAAAAGACAGAGTAGAGCTGAGCATTGCATCCCATACAAAGAGATCATGTAGCCTTTACTGGATCACCACTGGGAGAATTTCTGTGAACAAGGGGACTTCAAATTCTCTCCTCAGACACAGCTAAGGCATAGCAGCTGATGTGCTCCCATGTATTTTCTTCTGCTAAAATTGAAAATAACGTTAGAAAGATTGTCATTTTACTAGCAGCTTTGACAGTGCTCATACCTAAATGCTGAGATAAATAGTTGTTCTCTGAATGCTGTAACAGAGTCTGCAATACAGGAAAGGTTTCCAATAAGCCAAGTGCTGTTCTCACTGAAGAACTAGTTGGGCACACTGCTATTTTCATTTGAATTAACTGTCTCTTTGGGAACACACTACAGGTCAAGGCTAAGCTCACGTCATTGTATGCTGGCAACAACAAACTGCATTATGGAAGAAAGCAAAACATGACCATTTGAATAGATTCATGCTCGTGTACGTAAGGATAGAAAGATCTGGTTCAGCAACACTGTGACTGGAAAATGAGTCATACTGCTACAGTCTCTAGACACTGCCACTCTCCTGCACCTGGTATTTTTAAAATGAGACCCCTCAAGCGGGAAACAATTCTCAGAGTTTTTTGCAGTAGCAAGGAGGAAACAAGGATCAGAAAAAAAATTTTCATGTTCCAAAGCAACCGATGCAGTGCTGAAAATCTCATAAAAGACAAGAGATTTTTATTTGCAAAGTTAACACATTTTTTTAAGGGCACAGCAGAACAGTTCTATAATTCTATTCTATTTGATTCCCTCCCATTCCATTCCATTCCATTCCATCCTAAACATTATCTGATATTTAAGGCTCGATTCGATTTGATCGATTCCCTCCCATTCCATTCCATTCCATCCCATCCTAAACATTATCTGATATTTAAGGCTTTAATTTATGTGGAAATTAAGAGAGAAATATTAAAGAGTTAAGTCCAGCAGGCTGATTGGGTTCAGCAAGCTGCATTTAAAATTATCCCATCACTGAACTACTCAGTCACGTCCCAAATTGCACTTCTTTAAAAATATATGTAACTATTTTCCTCCAGTTTGACCCTGATGCTTCTCCACAGAATAATATGAAATTTTTGCCCTTTTTTTCTTAATCTTAAGAGTTAACTTTCCCAGCTCCACATATCTGAACAGGATTTTATTTTGCCATGCAATTTTTTCATGCAACATTTTCCGACAGAAGTAGGCTAGACAGAATCCTCTGCAGAGCATAGAAGGCCATTACCGACTTGCCACAAAGTTCCTCTGCAAACTATTTTTAGCAAGGAATTTTAGCATCAGACCAGTAACAAACCTGTAACAAACAATGCTCAACTTTTCTGGAGTAGGCAATTATAGATGAAGTTTTTCAACTTGGGACAAGTACATGTGAAGTGAAGTGGAAAGTGACCTGAGGTCTTCCGAGACCTCTTTTTATTGCCATCTTTCTAATATCCCTCCTTCCAGAGGCCAATGCCATCTGCAGTGGCAGGCATTCCAAAAGATTCCTAGGAGTGGGGGGGATGACAGATCACAGGAGGAAGCTGGCTTCCTGTGACAGTGTTTAAAACAGACATGGATATCCAACTGCCAAAGTTATTATATGATAACAGGCGTAACATCTTAAAAGCAGCTGGTACAGTTAACCTACATAGTAATGTATAAGGGGAATTATTTTGCTATATCAGCTTTACTTCTCTTAGATCCTTCTGCCCTCTGTAAAAAAACCACTAGTACTGGTAATTTTGTAATGCTCTTATCAAAAATAAACTGCAACATGTTGATCTTGCTTTTAGAAGTTTCACATTGTTGTGTCACAGTGAATGTCACTGAAATTACTGCCGATTTGCTCTGAGATCAGAATCAAGCCTTCAAGGAACTAGCTCTGTCTCCATCAGACTAAATCCATGTACTCTGCCAACTTTAGTACCAGCAGGATGGATTTTGAATGCAGATGGACTGTTAGCATAGACTCATGGCATCTGGAGACAAGCTGTTCCAGTTGTCCTAATGTAGCTCAGAAGTGCCTTTATAAAGTTAATAGAGTGGATGGGGATAAAAAGGTGAAGTAATATCAGACCCCAACTGCCTTTCACTTGCCAATAAACCTCTGGCTCCTACTTTCCTACATAATGGTCCCCAAACCTATGGATTGTCCTTATTGTTCTGTTACTTGTTCTCCTTGTCACGAAGTTACAGAAATTACTCTTTCCCTTTCTCAGATGTGAAGACATTTTCAGATGAGTTCTTTAACTTTTATTAAAATACCAGTTCCTTTAGGTTTTGCTTCTCATACAGATGGCTGCACTTAACTGCAACAAAAAAAGAAATATCTACATGTAATCTGCTTTAGGTTGATCTGTCTTATTGAAAAGAAATCCTTAGAGCTATCCATTCCAAGTGCTAATATGAGATGATGATGAAAAATAGATATTGGTTCATAAAAAAGAATGTAAGTTTCACCTCTCAAGCAAAAAATTTTACTGAGGTATATAAGAACTTAGAGTGATATTACTTCACAGAAGATGGACCTCTAGAGAAATCTGTATCAGACATAGCCAATCTTATTGCCAATTTGCTTTTAAATAGATTTACTGAGTGAGTTTGTGTTCCTGATGACAACACGAGATCAGATTAGAGCACCAAACAGCCCAAACCTTGCAGTGATGATCCAGCTGTACCCATCCACCGTATCCGTATCTCTGTGAAAGAAACAAGAAAAAGCCAGTGCCAGCTAGCGCTCTGCAATAATAATAAAAATATCAATTCTTGCAATCCAGCAGCACCTTATTCAGGAGAAACACTAACACATATGCTCAGCTTTGAGCCTATGAGTAGCCCCACTGCCTTCAGCAGAAGTGGTGAAGTTTAATTTGACTGGACTAATGGTGTTTGTAGATCTGAACTTTCAGCTCAGTTCAACTGATTTCCAAGTGCTTAAAGTTACTTACTATATTGACATTCTAACTGGAATGATTTTAACACAAAAAAAATTAAATCAAGCATTTGGCAATATGAAAATTGAGCTGACAAGTTTCCAATCTGTGATCAGTTAATCATTAGCACAAAGATGTATCGATTCCACTTTCTGCTTCCATGATTCAGCAGCAGGACTGAAGGTCAGTCTCTTGCCTATTAATATTTAAACAGCCAAGAGAAGCTAAAAAGGAGAAGCTTAGTTGCTCATTGATTCTTCCAGAGAGATTCAAAATTGTTTATGCAAAAAACCCCAAACCTACAAAAGATGCTGATTCCCTTTTATTTTCATAAATTATTCGATTAGAAATAAATGAAATCTTGAAATATTATAATAGACTCAAAACAACGCTCAGAATTCTGAATTTTCTGTAATGAAACATTTCAAAGGAAACTGGGTAAAAGCAGGCATTTCTTTCACTGAAGTGTAAACAATTTCAATACAGTCCTGAATTTTCTGAGATAACAAATCATTACTTAATGCCACTGTGAGCTTTCCTAAAGTAGGTGTGCAGAGCCAAGCCTCCAGACTTCAGCCAATCAGAGATGCTAATGACTGAGGCTATGTGTGTTTTATTTAGGTATGTTTAGCTATGTATATTTTATTTAAATTTATAAATTTATAAGGCTTTATATATATAATATATACATTTAGAGAAAATTTTGTCAGTGACATCTAATGAGAACTTTAAGTTTTTACTAGCTCTGCTAATTGCAATTGTAAGCTCTGCAGAAATTAAGTACCTTAAAGGTGCTCAAGGAGTGTTTAGGCAATAGAGAAACTCACTGGTCTGCTTTTGAAGTTTTTTTCTCCTATATTCCCCTGAGTTATTAGTTGGATGTATGGACAGTCCTTATTTCATTTATTTCTATTAATTTTTAAGCTTTGCAAGGTTCCTAAGCTCTTAAATAAGTATCTTGACAATGGAATTTTTCTATTCATAGGTTCAAGGTTCAGAATTTATAAGGCTGGAAAAAAGAAAGAAAAGTTTAGCGCTATGTGTGCATGTTCAGATTGCCTGATTGGTTTTCCATGCACGAGATGTAGAGAACTATGTTAATGGCTTGAATTTTTAGAGGACTCTAGGGAATTCTGAGAGTTGTTTTCTATTCTAGGCCCATTAATAAACCATTGAATCACTCAATCTTTAGAACACAGGAAACAAAAACTAGCAGCTGGAAATTAACTTTTAAAAATTTGCCTCTTTATTAGTGTTTAAATAAATGCAACACAGACCTATGGTGTTTAACTAGTGAATTCAGCCTTGACATATGTCCATGAACATCAAGGGATTCTTGGGGTGATTTACCTCCATTAATTTTTTGCCCTTTTAAAGTATATACAGACAAAAAAAAACCTTTTAAAATCATGTAAAATCAGAATGAAGGAATTTTATAGGTTTTTTTTAAGGAATATTAAATAAACAAGGACAACAAAATCTGAAACAAGCAAGAGTCTTTGTAATCTGGATATTTAAACTCCTATCCATTTAAAATAGACATAATTGTTCTAAAAAATATGCTATCTCACCCACAATATCCACTGTACATGTGTTTTTCATTCAGGAGCTCTTATAATTACAAACAGGAAGTTGAAATAGACGTTTAAAAAGATCTGCCTAGTTAAATGAGAAAACAAACCTTTTGTGCATAACAATATTGTTTTACACTACTACTCAAGAAATAATACTATGTATGTTCTTAATGCTGGGCTTCATCATGGCTTTTTTCCTAATATGCTGTTTATATTTTCCAACAGCTCTCTGGCTAGTAGTGAACTGACACTGGACTGTCATGCTTAAATCCAGCAAAACACAGAGCTAATGCGTATGAAACGCTGATGTGAGAATTTGCCAACATCAACCTCGAAACAATTAAGTTAAAGAAATGTAAAGTGTAAAGCAAAGTTTCAGCTAGTGTGTCAGATGCCTAAGAGAATGGCTGAAATAATGGTATTCTTTTGTTGTCAGACAGGCAGAATGAAATCAAGTGGTTCCATGCTACTGTCAGACACAGGGAATGTTCATTCAAACTACAACCAACACAGAATTACAATAAGGAAAGAAGCAACAATGCAGGTCTGCTCTTTTCTACTCTGCTTTTTCATCATGAATGGAAACATTAAAGGATTATAAAAAATAGATATCCTGGAAATCTGAATGCAATTTTTAAGTGCAAATAATTTTATACATATGTGTGTATAAACTATATAAAAATATAGTTTTGTGTGATCTTTTACTGTACCCCTTGAAGCATGGGAGATGTGATCCCTTATGAGTCAAAAAATGATCAGACCTCTATATTGAATTGTGATTTTAATTATTTAGGCAGTAACTCTAAAACCTAATTCAGAATGAAATGACTACATGGCTTTTGATAATCTGAACTAAGAAACGGATTAGATTTATTACATGAAAACCTAAATGACACTTTCCATTCTCAAATATTTTTCACAGGATCATGAAAATTATTACTGACAAGACTAAATTTATGTCACTGAATGATAATAATAATACCACGCAAAGATTCAAAGTTAAGACAAGTTGACTTATAGCTTCAGTGTTATGACAACTGAGATTTTGTATTTTTAATACAATATGCTGCTACTTTCCCATAACTGAAAAAAATAACAGATGTTAGTAAAATGATCATCTTCATTAATTAACCATACTTAGAGTGACCCCTCTCCTGTTGAAGTTAATGACTTTCATGCCTGTGGGTATAAGATGTGAATGAATTTTGTCTTAGGTAACATTAATCTTGTCTAATATTTGCTTATCTCTCTTATTTAAAACAAAAGTAAGTACCGTTTGGGAACCTGACAGCTCTGTTTTTTTCAAGAGAGTGGAATTTACGCCTCGTCACTTGACAATTCTAACAAAAAAGCAAGAAAAAATATAAGAATTGCTTCAGACTAACTAAAGAGTGGGGAACAGAGCCCAGTTTTCCATTCCTTTCTTACTGGGACTCTTGCTTTGCAAAGTAATGCAATACAAATTTCTTAAAGCTGAAAAAAAAATCAAATTAGACAGAAAACTAGAGATATTTATAACAGAACGCTTCATTCATTGTTCTTTCAAAAATTACATTGGTAGAAATGGTTGCTGATAACATAAGGCACTGAATATCCAAACTCTTATTACCTTTTTTAGGTCAGGCCATTCCTTAGGTAGAATGTGGCTATGAATATCAATTTTCATTTTTGAAGTATCAAAGGAGGAATACTCTTTCAATGGAAATGTTTTCTGTATAATTGCTACTGTCCTTCCTGTCCCTGGTTTAGCAGGTTATTAACTTTGGTGGCTGTTCAGATCCACCTGCTGTTTTATCAGGAGAGCTTGGCACAGTGGCCAACCAGGGAGCCTAAATCCCAGAGGAGTGGCGCTCTAAAAGAACAAAGGCTTCCAGCAGAAAGTCCCTGTTAATGCATAAACTACAGTGGACTGAGGGCAAAGGGAAGATGTATGTTTATATTGGCACTATGAAGGGATTTATTTTACACAGAATCTAAAATACAACCTTGTTTACGGTTGAAAATCATTCAATAAAATTGAATTAGAATAAACATATTAAAACATGCTGGCTTAAATTTCCTCCTTTCTCTCTCTTAGATTCTGAAATAATTTGTAGAGAGCATACAACATATCCTTGGTAGACAGTCATATCTCTTCATCTAGTCTCTTTTCCTTCCCTTGCATTTTCTTTAAAGCTACATTAAAAAAATCACAGAAATATTGAACTGCAGCCAAATCTATGCTCTGCACTTTATTTCCTCCTCCTGATTATTGGTTCACTTGGGATATTTAGACATGCTACTGCACCCTGGTGCTCACAGCCTCTCCAGCTGGCTCCAGAGCTGGCAGGAGAATGGTTCAGATTACCTTAGTAATTAATGCTAGAGGAGTTCACCAGCTAATGTGGGAAACAGTTCCTGCATCCTGAGTTAAGTTTAACAGGAACTAGCTCAGATCTTCTGTGAAATTATATCTCATGTTTTCCCTTTACTCAATTTAGTATTACACTTTCCTCAAGATACCCTTGCCTTTCATATGTGCTATAATTTATTCCCTCTATAGTTTTATCTCAATGCATGCTAGTCACAGAGTGTCTTCTTGTAAAAACTGGTTAACAATTTCTCAATTAATTTGTTTCTACTGAAAAACGCTGATTTTTTCAAAACTAAATGTTGTTTTGAATCTTGCAACTTGAAATCAAGCAACTTGAAAAATATGTGGCTCATTTTGTTTCATCCTTTTTCTGACTTTGTTATTTTGTTTGGACTTGATAAAAAAAAATTGGACTCTTGTATTTCCCTGCTTGTTCACTCATTAAGCAAGTCTGCTTTTGATTTGGTCAGTTAACCCTCTTAGAGTTATTCAAGTCAATTCCTTATGACAGGGTTGGTTGTTTGCTTGATGGTGTGCTTCTCTGCAACGTGAGATCACTGAAGAATGAAAGTTCAAAAGAAATAGGAAGCAGCAGCTTTTGAAAGTATTCCCCAAATAAAGCAGCACAGCCAATAATTCACTTTAGCAGATCAAAATCACAGGATTGAAAATAGCAATTTTTTCCATCTCAATATCAAAACCTATTTCTTCATGACCAGGCTGCCAGATGAAATGGCAAATCTGCTCTCTTGTGTCCAAATGTGACAGCTACATTATAGGATCTAGCACTATATTGTTAGTCTGTTGGCAAACATATACATCTATGTTCCTGCATACAC